GAAGAGGTTCAATATTCGGGTGTGGGCTATGTTATGAGTCTACGTACGAGCAAGGCAGGGTCGCTATGATAAGGGCTCCTTGGTTCCGAAGGCAGCTGGTTCCAAGGAAGGCACGCGCATCTGACGGGAAGCTACGACTCGTGCCCCTGTCAGCCTTGTGATTGGCTCGGAAGCAGCTGACTGAGTCCTTGACAGCCACACACCTCGCACAAGCGTCATGAAACCTCGCCCCTCGCAGCAGCAGGGACTCGAAGCTTAGAAGAAGCAGGGAAACGCTAGAGTAGTACAAAGTGTATCGTGTCTTTGCGATGCGGTGAAGCCGTGTGGTTTGTCTGAAATGCTGCGAAATGCTACGTGAACGATGTCGCGATGTTCGCAGCTGCTGCATTCAGCCATCTCGATCGTGGCTTCCGTTCGCAGCCGATGCCCCATATCACCATGCTGTGTGTATCGGCTTCCTACGTTGGCCATCCGTCTCTCCATGCCTCGCTCCCACACCGGCGATTGGCGCTATCATTATCGCGCTGCGGGGTCCATCCCACCATCCAAAGGTCCGATTTCGCCATGCGCCTACTAATGAGAGGCTCAGGCACATGGTGAGGGGGCCTGCTGTCGCGGCCAGCAACCACCGTCTGACACACGTGTTTGCCCGACAGGCCTCACTGCAAGACATCCCGTCGCAGAAGATCGCCAAACTATACAGAGAGCTTGCGCAACCCATCGGAGCTTTTTGCCGTCAACCGAGGGACGTGAGCGTTACGACCAGACAACGTGATAATGCCTCAACCATGATTTGCGTTGACAACATACTTCGTGATAGCCTAGTGGGTGGGGATTCCGTTAGCGATGCGACTACACACACCAAAGTTCGAGTCAAAATCGACGTACCGATTTGAGGACGTTGATCTGCTGCACCGTGCGTGTGAAAACGGCCCGGTACTGCTCGAGGTTCTGATGCACCACTTCGTTGCGCGTAGTGCGGCCTTCGCAGATGGCTTTCATCTGGACCTCCATCTACCCAATGTGTTAGCGAGCATGCCGGGTCATCAAAGCCCAACATCCCACTTACTTCTTTCCGGAGGAATGGTTTGCTGAGACTTGTCTCAAATCCCACGTTGTCGTATCCTTCGATAAGCGCGATACCCAGAGTCGTTGGGATGAACTCTTGTATTCCGCCCGTCCCTCCTCCGTTGTTCTGGCCTACGGCTGCGCCGCCTCGTCCACCACGTCCCCCTCGTCCCCCTCCTCTTCCTCTGCCGCGGCCTCTACCCGCGCCTGCGCCATCTGCGGCTGCTGCTGCGCCGCCCGCTTTGAGTCTTGCAATGACGTATTCGCGCTCCTTGATCTTGGCGATATGCTCGGCCATGGTCGCATCTGTGCCGATGCCGTTTGCATCCATGAGGGCGATGAGTTCGGGCTCGGTGAGGTAGCTAGGTGCCGACGTTTGTCCGTCCAGCATGTTCGCTTCTGTAGGCTCGAAAGTCTCACCTACCGTGTACTGGGGGAGCACTTGACTGCTCTCCCACTTGTCGTAAGGATAGACCTCGAGATAGTTCCTGGCAATCACGGTAAGGCCATGTGCATGGAATATCTCGCCTCCGTACTCGATCTCAATGTCTGTGGCTTCACCGACAGCGTCTTCAGAGCAACAGGCGAGAAAGCGGCGGACGACAAATTCGTACACGGTGCGCTCTCTGTCGTTGAGCTGAGATGACGCGACGTAGTTGACGGGATGGATGGGCGGATGTGCTTTGTCGTTGTTGCGGCCCTCGCGAGGTTGATGAAAGCCACCGTTCATGAGGTTCTGTGCGAACGGACCCCAGCGACCGTCTTGTGTTTGCCTTCCGACAAGCGCTCGCAGGTCCATACCACGATCAAATTGGTCAGTCTCAGTACGCGGGTAACTGATCCATCCTTTCGTATACAGGTCTTCGGCCACTTTCATGACGTCCTGCGAAGTCATGCGAAGAAACCTACTTCCATTCTTTTGCAGCTCGACTGTCGTAAGAGGTAATGGTTTCCACTTCTTTGTGGGTTTCTTAGCCATCTTGATCACTTTTGCTGTTTTTGAGAGCAGACATCGCTCGAAGATAAGGACGACCGCCATACGATCGAAAAGATGACCTCGTCGCCAGTTAAACTTGACTTCAATGTCGTCTTTCTTGTGTGCGAGCTTGATGTACCAAAATGGCTCAGGAACAAAATTTCGCACTCGCAGATAGCGATCGACAACGAACCCTAGCGTTGGAAATTGACAGGAGCCGTAGCTGATCAACTTGAATCGCTCTTCGCCCTGCTGAGGAATCATATTTTGTAGCGCCAGTGTCTGCATGCGTGTGAAGGCTGCACCGAGCCGCAGATCTAGCTCAATACGAGCCGAAACAGCTTGAGCCTGCTTCTCGTCTAGGCGGATCGGGTTCTGTGAGGCTTGTATAACATGCCTGGGTCACGTTAGTTGATGCTCATGAAGATATTGCAGTGTCACAGACGCTCTCTCGATGTTGCTAAAACGCGCTCTCCAAACCTGCATGTTTGGGTTCGCCTTCAGCGCAATATCACGAATCTCGGTGCCGATATGCTCGCCTTCGCGATCACAATCAGTCCAGATGAACAAGATGTTCGCCCACCTGGCTTGCGCTTCGATATTGCTCGCTACAACCTTTTTGTCCTGTATGTGGATTAGCCAGCTTCGTCAGAATGAACCAAATCACCCACTTCTGCTATGCTCGACACTATGGGTGCCTCGAACAGTGCTGCGGGTTGACATGAGTGCCATTTCTTGAATCGATCGTTGAAGTCCTGCGCAACGATATGTCCGGCAACGCATGTGAACGTTACAGAGCATTGCCCCCAGTTTTGGAAGCGGAAATCAAACTTGTAATTCTTGACCCACTGGATACCGCGGACACTTTCCTATCTGAAGTCAGCCTGCGTCCGATCTGCACGTCAGGCCATGGAGGCGCCCGTATCCTTGCACCGGATACCAAGACATGAGCTGAACGCATCTGCCATCCTCTCCGGCTATCGGAATATCAACCAAACACAAGTGTGAACTTTCAAGGTATATGTTGAAGGTCAATGCGACATGCTGAACTTACTGCTCGGGCTTGGCCGCCCAGATGATTTGCGACTGCTTTTGCGATCGAAGGCTTTTCCGCCACGCACAGTACCCGGGTCATACCTCTGGAATGCCGTTAAAACCGCGAAAGAGGCTCAACGTGGGTCTGGAGATGATGGTGGGGAAAGATCCTCACGGTCATGTGAAGACGCGTCAGATCAGCCTTGGCGCGTGCTAGCGCGTTTATCAGCCGCACGGACGCTATCGCAGCTCGCTAAGCCGGGATGCCAGGGAAAACAGGTCTTCATGAGGTCATTGTCCGCTTCACACAACAAACGCTAACGCCAGCTTGCGAGGGGCGCATCGCAACATCCCCATCTTCACCAACCCTCATCGCAACGATGCCTGACCCCCGTACATACACCGACATGGCACTGCCACTTATCAAGACGCTGCCCGACTGCGTCGACTACTTCAAGACGGTCGAGCCGTTCCTGCCACAATTCTACGACCTCCCGTACAAGGTTGCAGCGCATATCACCGATGTGCAGGCATTGAAAGACCTCTATGTCAACACCAACCCACTCATGTCATCGCTGGCATTTGCCACGATGTTCGTCACGCCGATCGTGCTTGCCGTCTCCGAGATCAACCGGAACTACTCGCAGGTTGACAGGATCTGGAGTATATTGCCTGCCCTCTACAACGTGCATTACGCACTATGGGCTCATCTCAACGGCCTGCCCACCATGAAGCTGGACCATATCATGGCTGTCTCAATCATCTGGGGTGCTCGCTTGACTTTCAACTATTGGCGGAAGGGCGGATACCAGGTCGGCAGCGAAGACTACCGATGGGAAATTGTCAAGGACTACGTCGGCGGACCCGGCATGTTCATTTTCAATGTCACATTCATTTCGCTAGGACAGAATGTAAGTATACTCCTACCATTTGCTATTAGTGTACGAGATACTGATCATGGTAGATTCTTCTTTGGCTCATCACCACGCCCACGTACATCCTCCTCCTCGTCAACCGCATCAAGGGCAACGACATCACAACCTACGATACCCTTTTCGGCCGCTCCATGCTCGCTATCGTCGTGTTCGAGTTCTTTGCCGACCAAGCGCAATGGAACTTTTACAAAGCGAGGAACGCATACCAGAAGACTGCCAAGGTACCATCCGACCAGAAATACACTCGTGAACAGTTAGACCGTGGCTTCAACACTACTGGTCTTTTCAGCTGGTCGCGCCACCCCAACTTCGCAGCCGAACAATCCTTCTGGGTATGCTTGTACCAATGGTGCTGCTTGGAGACTGAGACCTACGTCAACTGGGCGTTCGCCGGTGCATTCGGATACCTGATCTTGTTCCAGGCTAGCACTTGGTTGACTGAGTTGCTCAGCGCGGGCAAGTACCCTGAATACAAGGTCTACCAGGAGCGGGTCGGGAAGTTCCTTCCGAAGTTCGGCACCAAGAGCATGGACTTGCCGCAGACGGAGAAAGAGAAGCAGAAGGTCAAGGACGCGAAGGCTGGCAAGGGCTCCATGAAGACTAAATAAGTCCACATGGAAAGAGCTATGGCACAAGACCTGCTCCGGATGGAGAGGCCACATGATCGAAGAGGGATGATGTGTTGCCAGCCAGGATCAGTGGGCGTTATGAGCAGACAGGTGCTCAAGGTATGATACGGATCTCAAAACCATATACGTCATTACATCAACCCAAGCATAATATCTAAGAAAGTAACTGACTACACTGCTGGGTTACGTCACAGAAGTTGCTTTCATATCACTACCCTCATGTCCTTCCATTATCCATTCCTTGACTTCTTCATCGCCTCCTGTTACAATCCACCAATCTCTCCCTGAACTCGAAACCATGCTTTGCTCCCACGAACTGTTAACCGTTGTGGCTCCTACCAGACGCAGCGACAGTCTTTAACCTTCCGCCTTGGTCTCCTCGACCGCGAACCTGATCTTGCCGTTGAACATCTTCTTCACATCCTCGAACGAAACCTCTGATGACCTGCCCTTGGCTTTCTGTGGAGCAAGGAACTTCAAATTTCCAGCGCAGTGAAAATCGATTCCATCGCCGATGGTGTTAGTGAGAAAGTCGTTGAATTTTCTCGCACTGGTCAAGTGCACAATCCGCATGTCCAACTCGACAACGATGTTGCGAAGCGCAGCGAAACCGTAGTCACCGTTCGCAAGCTTAGCAAGTTTCAGCCATTCAATCCTCATCGGGCGGATGCGCACAGCGAGCCGTCGAATGAGATGGTGAGATGCTTGTGGGGGATAGGCGAAGTAGAGACGGGTGTCCAACCTTCCATTTCCGATAACGACAGACTCATATGACGGCTCTAGATGGAACTCGTTCTTGGTCCAAAAGATCTCTCGCGCTATTGCGGCGATTTCGCGTGTCATGGTCAGGTGGGGAAGCAGCCGACAACGGACGATTGGGAGGTAGAGTGCCTTGTTGCGTGCGCCGACGCGATTCTCGGCTTTCACATTAAACTCAAGGATTAGGACCTTCAGCTCGGCTGGCAGCTTGTTCCATCCCTCTTCGAACGCGGATTTGAGCGGCGCTGACGACGCGATGATGAGCGGCCTGAAGGACGTGATCTTGGTGATGGACTGGGGGCCAGCGTCGACGTCGACACTATTGCCCTTTATGAGGGTGACCCGATATGGTGAGTCGCTTTTGATGTAGATGGATACAGGCGGTTCGAGTTGGAGTGGTGTCGTTAATTGAACGACATCTTCGTACATGTCCACGTCGGGGATCTTGCTGAGCATTTTGATCGTCAAGGAGGAATTCCGGGCGGCCATCATCGCCGTCGCTGCGAATGCCATGAGCCGTGTAGGTAGGTGGCAGTGTGTCTCGAAAGCGCTTGTGCGCTGGCAGGGAGGTCAAATAAGAGAGTGGGATGTAGGAAAAATTGCAAACGGGGGACGGCGTCAGTGCGGAGCTGAGACAAACGCTGTGATAGTACTAGCGTACAGCAAATGTAACTACGGTCAACACATGTAGTGAAAGAGAAAGAGTTTTATCTTGCTTCCATTCGACAAAGCCTCCAGGCTATCTTTTGACGTATGTCTAGGTCGATAGCGCGGTCACGTCGAAACTACTGCATCATTGATCTTAACCATCAATGGTATCTTCTCCCACAACGAGTATATTTTCTGATCCGCAATCCAATTCCGACATTCGGGGAGTAATTCGAGATCAAAGTTAAACAGTACTTTGCTCATAATGAGGCGCATCTCGTGGAGGGCCATGCTAGTGACAACATGTTAGTATCTTTACGCTGTTTCAGAGACCAAAGGGTAGCGTTGCTTACTTCTTGCCTAGGCAGTCCCTTGGACCTACATGGAACGGCTGGAGAGCTGAGCGTTCATCGGAGGCGAAGCGTGGGTCACCCAGCCAGCGCTCGGGGATGAAACGTTCGGGGAGGCTGAAGTTGTCGGGAGAGTTGTACATTGCCAGGTGAGAGGCTGCAACATTCGTCTTTAGGACTTAAGTGTTAGACAGCTGCTTGACAATATGTGACGAAGATGACAACGTACATTTGGAGGAGTGTAATATCCACAGATAGTCGAACCTTCAGCAGGAGTGAGATGCGGCAAGCCAATCGGTACAGGAGGATAATGCCTGAACGCTTCCTTGATGCACGCATTGAGGTAGGGTAAGCCCGCTGTGACTTCCATACTAATGTCGTCTGATGAGTTAAATGCCGTCCGAATCTCCTCTACGAGCTTCGCCATCGACTCGGAGTGCACCAGAAGCAAGTAGGTTAGCCCACTGAGTAACGTCGCCGTCGTTTCCGTGCCAGCTAACATGAATAACTCGCCGTTCATATCCATAACAGGGCGGATCAGGCCTGCTTTACCCTTCTTCTTGTTGGAGAACCAGGTCCCACAGATCGACACCCTCCGACACTCGTCCCTTTTCAAGTCGCTTAGTGACCCTTTCGACAGTGTAGTTGTGATGCTCCCTCCGAAATGTCGCAATCTTTTTACCCAACAATGTAAATAGCATAAACTTGGCGAGCGGGTAGTAGAAGAAGATGCTTATTAGCGTACCGCGCTTGCTGCTTTTGAAGATGACTTGAATCCAGGTGGTGTACTCTGCGTTATCGAGCAGGTGTAGAGATTCGCCAAATGTTAGGTCGGCCATGACGTCGAAAGTGGTGAAGTTGTCTGGAGTTAGTTGTACAAAGTCAGTGTTTGTCTAACATGCGTTCGTACATAGACCTAACGTACACATTCGGACGAGATCGACCGCGTTCGCCTGGACACTTTCTCTCAAGTTGCGGATAAGTTGATCAGCGTACTTGACAAATAATGGTGACTGCTGTACGAGCGCTCGGTCAGAGAACGCGGGAGAGAAGATTTTGCGAATCCGTGCATGCTCGGCATTGTCTTGCTCTGCGACAAGTGAGTTGGCCCCATTAGGAGAACTTCCCCGGCGATTCCAATTTTTGGGTGGCGCCGAGCCTGGGCCTTCCTTTGACCCATAGCCGTAGATGTCGCGCCAAGCTTTTGGATTGGTGAAGCTGAGTTCATCAGGCGAGAGGCGCACTACTTCTCCGTATTGCGCGTGGAGCTGGGCAACGTGTCGTGGTAGCTCACCTTTCGCTATGGCAGTGAGGTACGGTAGGCGCGTAAAGGCAGAGAACTTTGGCCCAGGGAAATGGCTAAGCGGATGAAAGTAGACTCGGTAGATGCCTCTAACTACCCATCGTACAACAATCTGCCAACGTTAGTACAGCCGGGTATTCGAAAGCGGATTAGTGCGAACAAACAAATGCAACGACTAGAGAAACGAGTTTCGCTACAGAGAGTTTCCCAAAGACGACAGAGAGCCTAGGAAGCGCGCTTGGTTTCGTGAAGACAGCCATCATGAGAAGTGGCGGGTGAAGGTTGGGAGCAGCGGAACATGTCAGGGCGACAATCGCCTTCTATTTGTGTCCCCCTCGTATCTTTTTCGGTGTGTATTGAAGCAGCCTGCAATGCATCAACCCATACCCCAGGGACGTACTGAAGGCAACTTACTCTATTGCCTTGACCTGTCACAGGGGCCATGCCGCTCGCTACTTTTAGATCAAGGTTTTCTCCACGACGCCGACCTTTATCCGGACTGTGCCACGCGGATGTGCCGGGCCGTTATAGTGGAATGCATCGTATAAAGCGTAACCAATGCTCGTGCACTCAGCGGGTAGTGAGCCAACAAAGATAACATGCATAGCGATAGGAATGTGGCGGTAGTTCGCAGTGAAGAATTTTGGCTAATACGAATGACTAGGACTACACGGATCCCTTTGTCACGTTACCACCTCCAATGGTGCTCACGTCGGGCGCGCCTACGAGGGCCAGATTCTCTATACCAGCAACGCCGTATAGCGCTGCGGCATTCGTACTGACCCATGTGGCTTCATCCACAGCAGTAAGTGCATCACTCCCATCGACCCTCACCCTCGCCCATGGAGCACCCGGTGCAAGCCCGTCTTTACTACCATCGCCCAAGAACTCTGACCAAACTCTTGGAACGAGTGTCGCGTTGTTGCGATGATTGGCGACATATGCGGTGAAGCGCGAGTGGCCCTGCATCAGACTTAAAGTGCCAAAGTCCTTGCCATAACGAGCTTTCTGTTCAGCCTTCCCGGCACCGTAATAGTAACAATAGTCCAAAAAGGCTTCGAAGAAAGGTTGAGTGAGATTCTTCTGCTCCGTACCAAAGTGGTCCATAAGCTGATCAATAGTCTCAAGGACGCCGAAGACACCAGACAGATGCGAAACCGTGACGTTGCCGGTGTTGTTCGGGTCTGTCGGCGGCGGTGCCCACGCACCAGTGAGGCTGTTGTAGAAAGCTTCGCCAGTGGCGAAACCGTTTTTGAGCTTTGGATATGTCATAATGGACTCGACGAGCTTTTTGCGAGATTCTTCCCAGCGTGGCCCACGACGCTCCCACTCGATAAGATACGCTTGGGCAATACCAGCCCAGTCGGTGCCAAAGTTGAGGAATAGCGCTTCGGGATCAGGGTTGTAGACAATGCCCGGTTCTCGCACCTTGCGTCTCGCATCTACGCGAAGGAAGGCTTTATCAGCATCTATGACCTCACTTACCAAGTCGCCGGTCCGCTCGTCGCCGCCGGAGATGTAGTAAAATGTCTTGCGGTAGACCGGAGTTGAGATTCTAGCCTGTTTGGCACTGTCACTCCAGTGTTGGACGCCATGTCTCGTCCCGAGCCCAGTAAAGTTGCCTAGATGATACGAGTCGACCTCGCCTCCGTGGCGCACTTGGTCATGAGCAATCTTGTAGGCATCCGCACGACCGGTGCGGAGGAAAAAGTCCCAGAAGAAGAGATCAGGCGACAGCTCCGAATTATCCCAAGCATAGCCACCGACGTCATATCTCCACTGGTGACGATCGTTATCATAGGTATGCATGATGTCTCCATGATCCCAGAATCCGTACCAACGGCGCTGTTCGATTTGGTCTTCGTAGTACTTGATGAGGAAGTCCATGTTGTTCTCGATAGTTTGTGCTTGCGCAGAGTCCACAGCACCAGGCACGTCCCAGTAAGACCCAATCGCTTTAGTGTCGCGCATGTACTCTGGCTCAGGAATGAGAACGGGTGGGTTGTTGGTGAAGTTGGTAAGCGTTGCAAGGTGTTCGGCGGATGGAGTCTTGTCAAACGCGTAGATGTAAAGCTCGTTTGTGCGGCCAAGGCCGTAGGGAGTGTCGTAGCCTCCTTCCCAGTCTTCGTATGTGATATCCAGAGCGTCTAGTTGCTGTTTGTAGGTGTCTTGTCCAAGTCCGTCGTGGTATGGGCGGATATCCATGGGCCCTGCTTGAGGGCTGTACAGCCACATGGTGATTGACCCAGTATCAGTTGCAGCATTAGAGATATCTAAACTGGTAGGATACTTCTTCCAGAAATCTCGAAGGCCCACGGCAAGGCCGCCAACCGTAGCGCCGCCGAGATATGCTAGGCCACCTGAGCGTGTGCCTCCAGGGATCTTGACCCAGCTTTGGCCAGCCTTCGTGCGCTTCTTGAGATTGAAACCGTCAGGGGAAAGTTGTGTTAGGCGATAGTCGCTCCACGTTGGGATCCACTGTAGACGAGTGGTCACCCTCTGATCCCATGTAGAGTTCGGTGGCAAGACCGTGCCGTTGAACTGACCGGATCGAATGTCGACACCTGGGTCTCGACGTAGACCGGTAATGCCCTTGACAGCTTCGTGTAGCATTCCGCCTTCAACACCCGCGATTCGGACATGACGATCGTAGAACTCCTCTTCAGCTAGGGGAACATCGAAGCGAATGCCGATACCCGACATGAAATCTTTGTACATATCTCCATCGTATATGATAGTGTGAATGACCCGAATTGCTTCGGAGTTGGCGTAGAGGTAAAACCGAACGGTAAAGGGTATCCAGTCGTCATGAGCGCCATCTCCGTCGATAGTATGGATGCCGTTGACTGTGACTAATGATCGTACGGTGTTTTCCTCTGATACAGTGACGTTCGAGATCTTGCTGGTGAAGCTGAAGTAGTCAATTCCGGTTGGCTTGCCATCTTCGTCGTCATCAGGAGTACCGTTTTGAGAGCGTAGGACGAGGTGGCCGTTGCTTCCGACCGTCTTCCCGCCGGCTTCAATGGTGGACACTAGGACGTTGCCCGACTTGGGAAAGGTTGCTGAGACTTTGCCGGTACGGACCACGATAGTATTGCCAGAGTCAGTAATTCGGATGCCATTGCCTTGGCGTTTGTATAGCGAAGTCGAGGAGTTTCCTGCACCAGAAGCTGTGATTGTATATTCACTGGCTGGGGCGTCGCTAGCTCCTAGAGCATGTCCGGTCCTAAAATGACGGTGCACGAAGTCAGTGTATGTCTCACACGCAGTTCGTACATGGGAGATTTTACCACTTCAGCGAGCCGTCAGGCCAGTATGCTGTTACCCACGACTGAAGTTCCGCATCCCCAGAGACGGTGAAGGTTGTTGCGTTCGCAAGGTGCTGTCCTCGAGGCCACGGTAGGCCGAACATCACGCCAGCGAGGTATTCTGGTGTATCCTCAAGCCACTTGACTTTGACAGAGTCGCTTTGGGCGGTGACATAGCTGACAAGGCCAGCAAGGCCAATGAAGGCGCCAAACATTGTGAGATGGTGCACAGAGCGGAAGAAGTCGCAACCAGAGGGGAGGTTTGACTTTCTCCCTGACCATCCGACGGGCAAGCATTTTGTAGTTGCATGTCTCGACCAGGTACCTGGCTACGGCTTGACCGCAACGGGCCGTGGCCCGTCCAATACCCGGCTCACCATGTCACTTGCGGTAGCATACCCGTCGGCTAGCCCGCACGCAAGACGGTGTCCACAGAACGTGATGTAGGTTATTCTGAACGAGGCTGGTGCGTCCTTGGCGAGCCTTGTGTGTGATGGGCAGGAGTGGAGCTACTGTGGAGGTGGGGTAGATCGACAGGTTTGTGGAAAGGCGAAGACCTGCTCGCCATTAAACTCGGGGTAGAGACAGCCGACTTGGTGCCTTTGGGGTGATAGATGCGTGAATGGTACTTCCAGACCAGCAAAGATGGGAGCAGATTATATTGCCGCTGTAGACGCGCTCGGAAGACATGGTCGATGCGTGCAGACCTCGGGTGGCTCCAGAGCTGCTGTTTCGCAGGATGGCGCGTAAGGTGTCTGGATGGGAAAAGAAGCGCAATGGATCAAGAGGATAACATAGAATGTGATGGTGCTGTTACAACCTTCGCGCGAAAGGAGGCAGGTGCCACACGCGCGCGTCACGTTCATGCCAAGCACGCTAGTCAGAATCGCGCCACGCGCCGCTCCTCATCCCTCATGTTAGAAATGCGACATCTCCTGGGCGTCGGAACAATACACGGCGAAATGAGTTCCTGAATGCGCGTGTCCGGTTATGCGCATTTTCTGTCAATATATCATCATTACTGCGGTATCCTTGACTCGTGGTGGGTACACCGTGGTGCGGACGAACATCGGGGTCACGTGCGCGAAATCGGTAGAAGACAGAACAGTTAAATCGGTTTGCCCATTGACGATAGAACGCGAAAGTAACTTGGCCAGCTTCCCTGTGCTGACTGAAATTCCACCAGACTAGGCGGTAGTGCTGACGTCATTTACGCTATTGGGATAGCTACTGCTCGGAAAAACAAAGACCTCTTCGCCATAATCAGTGCCACCCAAGCCTCGTGTCTTCCCCTTCAACCGCACACAGCTGCGAGCACTCTGGACTACGCTTCTTCCATGTTTCTAGACCAAGCTGAGTTGGTGTCCATATCTGATCCATTTGATCCTCCCTCAACACCTCCGAGAGCGGTGATACTCCTTCTTGCTGCCAGTCTTTCAGGCTCGGCAGCTTCAATCTGTCCCAGATCTGCACCAATGCACTCACTAGGTGATCCTGCTGCTTGGACGTATGGGCTGGCGTTGGTGCTATTCTCAACCTTTCCTGTCCTCTGGGTACGCTTGGGGCGTTGATCGGCTGTACGTATATGTTGTACTCGTCAAACAGAATATCTGCAACCTTCTTACAGACTACGGAGTCTCCAATCAACAGAGGCACTATATGGGATTGATTCGGCAAGACTGGGAGACCGTGCTCGCGTAGCGCCGTCTTGACACTACGAGCGTTGCGCTGGAGCTGCTTGCGTGAGTCGTTATGCGAGTAGAGATGTTCGACCGCAGCTCTCGCTCCTGCCATAACGGCTGGTGGTTGCGCTGTTGTGAATATGAAGCTCCGGGCTTGCGAGCGAATCATGTCGACGAGAGATGCGGACCCGGCGACGTAACCACCCATGGTTCCAAACGCTTTACCAAGCGCTCCGCTGACCAGGGTAATTCGATCCATAAGCGTGCTCTGTCCATCTCTACTTACTCCTTGGTGGATATCGTAATCGAGATGTTCGGCCACGCCCGCCCCATGGGGCCCGTAGAGGCCGACCGCATGGACTTCGTCCAGGAAAGTGATCGCTCCGTATTTCTCGGACAAATCAACAATCTCACGTATCGGAGCAACGGTGCCTGATCGGAATTAGAATGTTGA